GAATCCCTATGTAGAGTATGTAAAGAGGAGAACGAAACTTCTATTCACATACTACTCCACTGCCGGAACCTTAAATGGGAACGGGAATGGTACTTCGGGATATAATATCCGGAACCTGAAGAAATTGCGAAAGCGTCCAACAGACATATTCTTGAATTCATCAATAAAATTACTCTTATGGGGTAGAAACTGTGAGGGGTACAATAAGCCTACAGCTTTAGTACGAGTGGGCTTTGAATTACGCTCTTATTCAGATAGATAGGTTAATGTGTATCTAAAAAATAGATGGCAAATGCCATGCCTCCAGAATCTGTCCGGCCTCCTCATAACAACAAACAACTACTTCCAGTACTATATGCTCAACATGACGTTGGATTACAGTGTTATAAAATGTGTTCGCGACCGACTTTATCAATAAAACAAACCCTTGGATTTGGCATTTAAGGAGCTAACATTCCACGACCGGTTTCGCCCTATTTGGAGCTCATCAGGTGAGAAGTAGTCAGTTCGAATAGAACCTCTAATCAACTCTGAAGATAATTTGGCTATTCGAACCATACATGAAAGTTTGTTACAAAATAAATAAGGTGCGAACAGTCACGCCATCTTCATTTAAATGCCCAAATCAAAGTCCGGCGATAGTTTTAGTTATTTACCTACTGAGACTGGAAAATAAAATGGAAGTTAAATAGATCAAAAAATAAATGGCGAGTGCCATACCTCCATACCATATTATACCGCACCATTCTGGAGGTATGGCACTCTATTTACCTTCCATTTGAGAGCGATTTCGGTCGTCTATTTTATTTTTCATTAATTTGTATTTACTATCAATCATATTGGGAGAAGAAAAAATTGGTCATGATCCATACAGTGTGGAAGTTAAGAAGTGGAAAAGATTGAAGAGGGAAAAGATAGACTTCAGCTGTTAATAAGCTTTCTCCCTGATTTATACAGAGCCTAAGCTTGTTAGCAGTTTAAATAAAGAGAAGCTGAAAGTAATAACTGACAAACAGAAGGTCTTGCCCTGATCCATACAGGGTGAAAGTTTGAAAAAAGGGAGTCTTGTTGACAGAACTTTGTAGTCATCCTTGCTCCATCCAAAGTGTCGGTGGGGAAGTAACGCTGAGACCAGAATAGGAAAATATAGAAAAACAGTTCTAGACCCTGTTTGTCATCTCTTGTGATTGAACTGGTTAGCCAGGAGATGATTCTTTCACCGCTTTCCCACGGCGAATTATATTATGTCTTGGGATATTTGTTGTCTAATTATGTTTCTTCAGTAATTTCAAGATCTTCAAAAAAACCCAACCTAGTTGAATTTCTTGTAGTGATGTTACAATTTTGCTTTTACGATATTGGGTCCTGATGTTATACCTTCCAAAAAAATGTATTTATTCATTTAGTCAATCATACTGGAAATATTATTTACAATGTCTCTAAAGACAGGCGTATATGAAAGAACTATATTATACCAATTTTTAAGCTGGGGAGTAAAAATTATACATCATGGTTTCTGCATACAGTTGTTATTTATAAAATAAAAATATTGAGTGTCTTGGAAAATTAACACCAATTAAATGATTGTCTCTATACTGATTTCTCAAAGGAGCTTAGAGTAAATCATTAAATTTTGATTAAAAAATTTGACGATATTTGATTATAATAGATTGAATGGAGTAATAAAATTGTATCAACCACATCAAAGATCATCCATGTTTTATCAGGAGTTCCACATGGATCTCACCTTTATTATTCGATCTCTTTATAAATAAAAGTGCTTCAAACAATGTGATTGTCTCATATTTGCAGATGATCTTAAATTAATTAGATTTATTGAAACTTTTGAACTCCAGGTGTGGATAGAATATTTCCTGCTCTACTACTTCAGGAGCACTCTGGAACTGGGATATATACCAGAATCATGGAAAAGGGCCAGAGTTACCTTTATTCTAAAAGTAGGGATACCACATATCCTAAATCCTTCTGACCAATCAGCCTCACATCCTTTGTATTTAAAACAATGGAGAAGGCTGTTGATAATGATATCAGAGCAGAAATCCTGGAGATGGTGCCACTCCATCACAGTCAGCATGCGTACCGAGCAGGAAAATCTACAGAAACTGCCCTGGTACAGATGACTGATACAATCCAGGATGCATTGACAAACAAAGAAACGCTCGTGTGGCCTTCTTAGATATAGAAAGAGCGTCTGACAACACGCAACACGAATCTGTCAAAGAAGCATTCACATACAGAGGAGTAGAACGCACCACATCCAGATGAATGGCTCAGCTGCTATCTACGAGAACTGCAGAGATACAGATAGGGCAGGATAGGGCAGGACATCATCTCCATCTGCACAACCCAACAGCAGACGAACTTCTATGCAGATTATGTAACCCCGGCATACCCTGTCAAGGTTATACCGACGACATAGTCATAATTGCTTGAGGCAAGTTTGTAAATATCCTGTGTGAGATATTCCAAAAAGAGCTACAATACTTCAAAAGATAATGCAAAGAGGTAGAACTCACACTAGTAGCCTTTCCAAGGAAAAGAAATATCAATCTTAAAATCATCAAATTAGATGTGATAGATATAAAATGGAAAAAAGATGTCAAATATCTAGGCCTAACCCTGGACAACAAACTTCTTTGGTACATACAAGAGAAAGAAGTATTAAATAAGACCACAAAAGCCGTAACTGTATGCAGAAACATTGCTGGTAGAAGACGGGGATGTATGCCAAACACATTACAATGGATGTAAACAGCAATAATGAGACCAATCATCAATTATGGGGCTGTAGTCTGGAGTAACAGAACTACGGGAGCTAATATATGGGAGCTAATACAAAGAACATGTCCTTCAGTCCCATTGGAAATGATTTTAAACCTCACTCATCTACATTTAATTTTAGATAACATGGCAAAAAGGATAAGATATGAAATGCTCAGGAACGGAGTAATCAGATGAAAATCTATTAGCTTCACGACCGAAGATACTTGGGATATGCCTCAGGACGGACTGAAAAAGAAGTTTGTAAAAAACTTCAAAACCAGAGAGCTGGGCTGTAAGAAAGAATGGAGCCAAGAATCTATAGTACTTGGAACCGAAAGACATGCCATTCAGTGGTATACGGATGGTTACAAAACCAAAGAAAAGACTGGATAAGGAGTTTATGGACCTAAAACCAGGCACCCTGAAAGTTTGGGTAGATACCCAAACATTTTTCAGGTGAAAATTCACGCTATTGAGAAGTGTATCCAGTTTAACATCCAAGCATCATCAAAGCTCTGAGTTTTTACGTAGTCAGCTGTAGATGCCTAGAAAACTTAATAAGCTAGGCGAGGAAAATACAATTACTCTCAATTGGGTCCCGGGATATAACGGGGTAAAGGGTAACGAGATTGCAAATAGGCTCGTAAGGAAATGGGATCAAACGCCCTTTGTGGGACCTCTGAACCGTTCTGCAGTGTCAGCAGTAACGCATATCAGGAGAGATTAAAAAAAAAGAATTGAGCAATAGAAGAACCGACAATTGAAACAATTTCTTGGAGTTAGGACAGGCTAAGATACTGGGTGAATATAACCAGAAAAGATTGGAAGCCTGTATTAGCCTGAGCAAGAACAGGCTATGCATTGTAACAGAGATCCTTACTAGGCATTGCCGACTCAAAGGACACCTTATTAAACTGAGAGTAGTAGAAGATAGTGAGTGCAGATTCTGTGAAGAGGAGGACGAAACCACCATTTACATTCTGACCGAATGTGTATCGTTCCAAATACAAAGGCACCATACTTGGGAGTATACCAAATAGAAAATTTCGTTGTACTTAGCTCGAAGCTACTTCAAATTCTGCACAGGCATCGAGACATTTCCTCGATTCGTTAGCAACAGAAGGGAGCATATTAGGTAGCATATTCAATATGACAACATAACCTAAAATCAAAGCTTTGAGAATAAATTATAAATTTCATTTTTTGGTTATAAATTTCATCTTTTTGAGCCATTTTGCAATGGGGTCTTACAATAAAATAAAAAAACAACAATAAAAAATTGTTATTAGGGGAAAATGATGATAATTGTAATGTAAATCGTATCTTAAGCTTAAATGATTGTGTCTTTGAATATGTTCTTTTATTCGCGATTTCGAAGATCTACAAGTTCTGCCTATGTAAATTGCATCGTAATTAGTAAGTAGACAAAAGTGGAAGGAAGGATTACCTGAAAAATGCAACATTGTAAAAATTTCTTGTAAAAACTGACAATTAGAAAATTTGTTATGTCCACGTGTACAATTATAACTTCATATATCATTTTTAAATACTGTAACATTTATTTATTTATTTAAACCTAAACAGTTTATTTAATTTATTTACACTAAGACACTAATTTATTTATACTCAATACTATACTAATTTAAAACTGCAACGTAGACCAATTTATATAAACAATATTAATATGATCACAGAGATATCTCAACTTGAACTGACTTATGACTACAAAGTTCGGCTATTTATATAAAAACGTGGTGCCTCAGACTAGCTCCTGAAGAGTTTAGACATCTCCATCATTTCCTACGCTAAACAAAAGCAAGTGCTTTCGCCAAAACTTGCAATTTCGAGATGCTTCGTTGAAGATTCTACCGCATTCAAGAATTATGATTCATCACGACCGACGAAAACCATAGTCTCACCATAGGGCGGTTTCGGAGGTTTATTTACCTTACCGGACTGGCCGAAAATGTCTCACACGGTAATACATTATTGTCAATTTTAATTATATTACATTTAGTACAGAAGAGAACGAAAACCGAAATGCTCTGCTAAGTTAATTATGTGAAAAAAAGATTGTTTTATCTCTACTATTTTGTGTAGTTCTGATTCAAAGGGCCGATGTTATTTAAATAAACAATACTTTTTATTATAGAGGAGCGGGAATTATTTTTAATAATAGTAATATTAAATCAATAATTATATTTAAAACCACCCACCTTCTATACACCAGCGGCGATCCAATGGGACTCTCCACCGCGTCTCTTCTATACACTCTGGGCGACCCGAAGGGCGAACTCCAGTTGACGACCGGCGTAGGCTTGGACCCTGGCTCGAAGTAATCCCAATCGCACTCGTCTATGGGAAAACTGGAAGCCGTGGAGGAGCTGTCGTTATCGTCCTCCTCCCTGGAGGAGGTTTCCTCCTTGGAGGAGCCGTCCGAGGAGTTGATGAACACCAGCTTGTAGTCGTCGCCTTCGGGCAGAAGAATGTCCCAGAGGTCGCTGTCCGGACCTCTGCGCCAACCTGGGGGAGGCAGATCAGTGACGGCGTCAGAGGAGTGGTCGGGGTTCTCGGGTTTTTTGGGGTTAGTTTATAGATTCGTGCCCGTCACCGATAGCGTTAGTATTCTATAATGGCTACTGTTACGATTTATTAGTGGTTTACTGTAAGCTTTGCAAAGATATTTTTCGGAAAAAATGTTTAATTTTGTCGGTGTTAATTTCAAAAGAATAGAAATCATTTTTATCGCAAAATACAACCCATATATTTATCCAAAGTTTTACATAATTCTACAAGTTGTATGGTATACCTATTATCAGATAGTCCCCACTTTTTCATAGGGACTATGATTGCTATTTTCTAAACGATAAAAAATAGCAAGTTGTTTAATTTGGACAAAAGTTACGCATTTTTGTGTTCTTTTTAGTGCTGCCAAAAAAACCCGGGATATTTACAGAGAGAGTCGAATTATTAGACAAAAACTGAAAGTTGTCATTTTATTAAATTCATTATAAGTCATATAAGTCAAAAAATAAGGGATTTAGGAAAAATTTACTATCTTTTATTTAGTAGAAAATAGTCTTTATTATTTACACCAATATTTAACCATGTTTCCCCTTTCCTATCAGAGATGCGATGTACAATTTTTGTTTTTCTTATAGGCAACATATTTGATTTTTATGCCATTAGATAAAAGTAAAAATTCCCTTTACAGCTATGTATTATACGCCTACATTATTTTGTAAAATATTAGGAAAATAATCGAAATTAAACCTTATTGCACGCCATTCTGTTGTTTAATGTTTATTGACGTATTAACAATAAAAGAGATAACTAAAAACTATTAACTGAACAAAATAAACTAAATCTGAAACCGACTTTAACGATAAAAAAAGAAAAACTTGATTTATAAATTCAAAATGTCCCCCTCTATTTTCTATGTTTTTTTTTAGCGTCCTAACTCTCATCTGTTCTACTGAACTTGCTAAAAATGAAGGTGTTTAAAAGCAGAAACAAATATCTGACCCAACTCCTCAACACTATTTATTTCGTTATAGTTATTAGTTATAGTAAATTTAATTTTTCTCTAACCCTCATAAAAAATAGCCCAAAGGATTAAGGCACGGAGAACGGGGCAGCCGTCTTGCAGAGCCATTTGGTTCCAATCCATTTTCTTGGAAAAAATACATTTAAAAAGTATCTGGCCACAGCAAAATTGTGTGCTGCCCAACCATCTTGGAAAAACCACTTAATATTTTGTCGAACTTCTAGAGGCATTTCATCCAGAACTTTTGTCAATAAATTGACGTAGGACATGTCATTTAAATTGCCCACGATCACATACTTTGATTACTATACGGGGCAAGAGAGAGGTCCGACACGCCCAACATAGGGCGCGGCCATTTTGAACCCTATGATACAGTTTATAGCTAAAGAATCAGATCGCTCACTCTGCGTCGGCACTTTTTATCTCAATGTTCCAGTTTATACACTGCGCAACTCAGATAATACAATATATGACAACCGCCTATAATAAAACAGCAGTCTTCTGCGTATCCTGAATTTGTATCCCTGGAGTGGATATTATTTTGGAACTTTCAACTGGTCCGAGTGAGCTAACTGATTCTTTAGCAATAAACTGTGACTCCAAAAATAATATTCACTGACACTGACAGCAGCAAGCAAAATATCAGGTGCGTTTTAATGTTTTAATCATCCGCTTCTGCTTCCGGAATTGTCGGTTCAGTCGTTCTAACCTGTCAGATTAAAACAAGAAAACCGACAATTCCGAAGCAGAAGCGGATGATTAAAACGCACCTATTAAAAATATTGCGCCAAGATGTAGGCAACACGTAATAAGGGTTTAAAATGGCGGAGTTTTCTATCTCCTTTTAAAAGGCACTCATAAAGCTGCGCAGTGCGACCATTCTCCGTATAGTAAAAGAAAATCAAAGTATGTGCCCACGATAAATTTGGGACCAATAACTTTGTTTCCAATAATCGAACACAACACATTAATGCTATACTGAATTTGTGGCCAGGTTTGCTGGGTTAAACGTGGATTACTTTAAGCATAATGTTTTTCTTTTTTATTTGTAAATAATGTTTCATCTGTTCATAAAATACTGTTTAAAAACGATGCATTTGCATGTGACATTCTTTAATACCAATTACAAAATGTAAGCTTCGGAATCTTTGGAAATCTCCGGTTGGAAGCCTTTGAACAGTTTTAAATTTGTAATCATGATATTTGTGTTTCTTGAGAATTTTCTGAACATCTGTTTGACTTATTCCACACTCTTTCGCAATAAAATTTGTAGAAAATACAGGATTGATGTTTATTAATGCCAATGAATGTATTTCTCATACGATATTTATCTCACTTTTTTGAAACACATCCAACTTCCGTAAAATTTCGGGAAATTGAGTAAAAGGTTTTCTTTGATGGCATATTTCATTCAAGATATGTCCTAGCATATTGGAATTGCATTGTGAACGTTTCTGTAACATCTGACATAAATGTCATACATATCTTTTCTGTCACCATCACTATAACGCCCCATTTAATAGTTTTAGATTAATTTCTATTCAAAAACCAAATTATCAAAAATAGAAATGTATTAAAGTGACAGTAATATTAGGCGGTAGCCATGGCAATTTAAAATAATATTTGTTTTTTATTATCATAGCGTACCACATTTCAATTTTAATTTCGGTTATTTTTCTATTTTTTTCCTATTATTTTACCTAATAATGTAGATGTGTAATCCATAGCGGTAAAGGGAATTTTTACCTTTATCTAATGGTATAAAAATTAAATATGGCGCAATTAAGAAAAACAAAAGTTATACATTGTATATCTGAAAAGAATACACGGTTAAACCTTGGTGTAAATAATAAAGAATATCTTCTACTAAAAACAAAAGATATTAGTAATTTTTTCTTAAACTCTTAGTTTTTGACTTATAATGAAAATAATAAAATAAAACAGTTTTTATCCAATATTTCGATTCGCCCTGTACATATCTCGGGTTTCTTGGCAGTACTTAAAAAGCACATAAATGCGCAAGTGTTCTCTAATCTAACCAACTTGCTATCTTTTACTGTTTGGAAAATAAATTTTTAATTTATTATTAATATAATTATTTTTATTAATTTCCGTCTGGAAACGTTTCAAACATCCCCAGTATTTTTGTTCCCTAGAAATTCCCATTTTTAAACATTTGCGAGAGTCCTCTTAGTTAAAAATATATTAGTATTTACCGAAATTCGAATCCGGATTTAAACATTTAATTTCGTGTAAATTATCTAGGTATATTCAGCAGGTGTCAAAAGGGCATTTTTTATTTCCTTCGCAAGTAAACATTAAAACTGGAGATGGTATATCCCACTTCGAACTACTCGTAGTCCGAACCAGTCTGATCGTGAGGTATAAATACGAGAATCCAAAGGTTTTTTTTAGACTCGAGAGACGTATACTCCACTATCGTTCTCCCAGCGAAGAAGTTTTAAAAAACATTTGCAAAACCCCCATCCTCACACGTTTCCAAACCCTCAGGAAACAACACGTCTCTCGCACGCTGAAAGGCAATAACACACACTTCCAAGATACACTATAACCCCCATGGCGCCCACGCCGCCTCCTACTATTTCGAAAACCGAAAATAAAAATGCCGCAAACAAATCTAAGATTACTTTCTGACTCCCAAGACCTCCCCCTCACTTCAGGATCTGCTTGACTCAGTCCTCCTAAGCATCAGATAAAATATTTTCCAATCATATAATTAGAATTAAGTTTGTACAGTATCGTGATTTAGGTTTTCGTGGTTTTCCTAAATCATATTTCCCACCTTATACTAAGGACTGGTTTTTGGGTTTTAGAAAGCGACATGGTCTTTCTTGTGAAAAACCTATAAAAATACCAATTATTAGAACAAAACAGACGATGCCGGAAATAATTTATGGTGTTTACGATTTATATGAGTCTACATTGAAAGAACTGGGATTACTTGATAAACCAAGCCCAATTTTTAACCTTGACGAGATATCATTATGCTCAGACCGATCAAATACCAAGGTTGTATCAGTAACAAATCAACCTGTGTTTCGTCAAACTGCTGGTACTGGCAGGACTAACACTTCGATATTATTTACAATTTCGGCAAATGGTGACAAGACGCCTTTATTTATCTTGTATCATGCGAACCACCTATGGGATATTTGGATGCCTGAGGAAGCTCATCCAAACACTGGATATGCTGCTACCCCACACGGATGGATGACGGAAATAGCATTTTTTAACTAGTTTAAAAACCACTTTTTAAAGCATTGCCCAAAAGAACGGTCTCTTCTTGTTATTTTCGATGGTCATTAATCGCACTTATCTTTGGATCTAATAGAATTAGCTATTAAGGAAAACATTTGTCTTCTCAAACTACCTCCGCACACGACGCATATTCTGCAGCCGTTGGATTCGCTCGCGTTTGGTGTTTTTAAAAAAATCATGGAATGAAGAGTTAACTGTATGGCAGCGACTTCTCCATTTTTAGTAGGAAACATTTGGACAGAATTTCCACAGAAATTATTGAAAAAATCATTTCAATTGACTGGCTTATTTAATCATAACAATCCAGATAACCCTATAGATAGAACTGTTGTTAAAGAATCAATCTTCAGACCAAATGAACTTCAAGAATATTTCAAAAAAACAAATTACAAACAATGCTCAAGAGGAAGCTTTATCAGTTCGTGACATTGAAGTTGAAGGGGAAATAATCTTCGGGTCAACAATGGACTCTAAAGACGATATGGAACCGGTTCCTTTTACTAGTAAAAGCCCAATTCCTTGTACTAATAAAGGCCCAATTACCTCTTTTAAATCTCTGCTAATAGGCAAGATTGCAACAGAAAATAAAGAAGCGAAGAAACGCAAAAAAATTAGCAACAATACCACCGAGATACTTACTAGAGAAGATTATTTATTACAGTTGAAGAAACAGAGCGTTGGAAAGAAAAATGTTACA